TAGTACCTCGGAACTGTATTTACTAGTGATAGAAAATTGGAGGAAGAGATCGACTGGCGAATTGGAGTAGCTATTGGCGTTCTGCGCTAACCCGACCCATTGTGAGCAAAGCAGAGCTCAGTCTGAAAAGTAAGCTCTCAATATTCAGGTCGATCTTTATTCCCATGCTTACCTACGGTCATGAATCGTGGACCGTCACTGAAAAACTTCGAACCCGGGTACAAGCTGCAGCCATGTGCTTTCTTAGACGAGTCGCTAGCCTTACACGTCTCGACATTGTCCGGAATAGTGACATCCGGAAGAGCCTTGAATTACAGCCTCTGCTTCTCCGGATTGAGAAGTCACAGCTGGATGGCTTGGGCATGGGTTGCGAATGCTTCCAGAAAGGAAGGTTAAGCAACTGTTCCTTGCAAATCCGACCGGCAGAAGGCCCAAGGGACGGCCAAGATTAACCTGGTGCAACCATATGGAAGGAATCTGTTTCAGACTGTATTTGGGTTTTGCCGAAGCTCAGACTCTGGCACAAGATCAGGAACGTTGGAAGCCTGTGTGACGCGTCTGCCTCCTCGACCCGAAAGGAGAAGCGGCGATGGATGAGGAAGATGAAGATGAAGAAAAATGCAGACATCAGTTTGCAAAGTCAGGGCAATTTTATGCAGTAATTTCTACGTCTCCGTCACTTGTACAATGCTAAGAATGCTACTTTTTTATCTCTGTTTTTTGCTATGAACCATCGACCATTTTCACAATGTTCTGTGAACCGTCATCCGCAGTTCAAAAATAGTGTGTATGTGCAGTACACACAAAAATATATATTAATGAACAGTGCATATTAGATGTACGAGATCATCATCTGTTTGAAAGAATCATGAGATATTGAATTCTTGAGTACATTACTCAGCCGGATTCGAGGCAAATGGTATTACTTTTTTCTATTTCCCAACATTGTCTATCAAGTATTTTTCGTATTTATTTTTTGGTCTTGCATATGAAATGTAGTAAATCGTACAAAAATATGATAAAAATTTTGACGCCTTTCGTTGTAGATATAAACAAGGACAGTAGCCAGCAATCAGTTTCAGTTTAGAACCGAAAGGACTCTCTCCT